GACAAAGTTTCGCGTTGGGGGAAGCTTGTTGGTTTATTTTTTGAATCCTAGATTATATCCGGTTCATCACCAAGTTTCCTTTCAATTTTTTAACTTCTTTGATACTGAATGTAATTGGTTATTGATATTTGTCAAGTGATTGGTTTTAAAAGTTTTTTTCTTTTGCAACATTTTTTTGATTCAATTCAATTATTTGTTTTCTAACTATTTTTTCCCATTTTTATCCTTCTTCTTTCTTGTATTATCTTTCAATCAGAAGTACACTGTACATGTGTAAAGTCATTATTATTTAGTTTTAACTATGATGAAATTGAAATATCATATATACTTTGATGAAGTGATAAAGTATCACAATATGAGATAAAGGTTAATTAGAAGTTAGACTGTTCATTGTGAAATCTAACTACTTTTCAACTTTGTAAAAGCTATGATAAGTTTGATTAAGTTTTGAAGTATCGTAACATGAAATTACAATTATGATGTTTTAATATAATTAAAAATCTGATGAAGAAGATTTAGTTTCTACTAAACTGCTAGTATATTCTTTATCAATCCTCTTTCTAGCAATTCCTTATTAATTTTCTCTTAAGTATTGAATGTACATATTAATTAAATCCACATTATAATAAATTCAGTTAAAGAATTATCATAAATTCTTTAACCATCAAATCTTACAAATAGTTCACAATACCTTTAATGATTCTATTGATCCAAATAATATGTCTACATCAAATTCACATTATGATAAATTCAGGAAATATCAAACTGTTCAAAATCTTACAGGTGGTTCAGAATATTTCTATCTTGCAAAACCAGTTTGCTCCTTATATTTCATCCAAGTAATCTTTCTGCTTAATCCTGAATATATATTAAATTCACATTATGATAAATTTCCTTCAACTTAAATTAAAATTATGTGTATTCTACAATGAATCAGAATATAACTATCACATTTAACACTTAATCAAAATAATTCAGAATACCTTTATCGATTCCTTCAAAAATTCCAAATCTCTCAATTTATATTTGATTTGATTTCTTTTCTTTCAAAAAAAAAAAAAAAAATTCACTTATTTATCTCACACGCGTCTCTTGTTTATCTCATACGCGATCAAGTGCAAGCCAAACACCCCTCCTTCCCCTCCATCATCGCAGCTTGGTCTTTTCCATCGCGATGAGATTAAGTTGTACTCGTGGCGTTTCTGTTCTCCGCAGCTGAGCATTGTTTACGGGGGAGGTGGTAAGAGGCCACGAATCGTGCTCTCTGCCAGCTAGTGAGAATATATTTATTCGTATGTTAAAATGTCGGCAAGCGGTCAAGAGTGTACTCTCTTTAGGCCAACAGGCGGTTCTACGCTGAATTGCAGATACGGTGTAGTTTGATGGTAGTCGCGAAACCGATTCGACGCCGATAACAATTTACATTCGCCGATACCGAACTGGGACACGATGCAGGTGCAACAGCAAAGGAGAAGAAGGTAAATCTTTTTCGACGGTTAACGCAACGTGTAATTAAAATGCGGCCACAAATCTGAAGTCTCTTGTTTGGAGATTATCCATTTGGACACGTGTCTGTGAATAATAAAAAGAGATGTAATGGTTTTAAGTTATAGCTAAGTTGTTGTATCACTTTGTTATACTTTATTTTAATATATGTATATATGTTTGTTTGAGATCACAGTGTGTATGTGAGTATGTATGTGTGCTTTTTTTTCACTTATTGTTAATCTTCTTATCTTTGCATGACAACTATAGAACTCTCTGGAAAGTTATTTGTCATATCAACTTGTTAGAAAAGTGATATAATTTGAAATTTGTATTTGTTGAATTGTTGATTGTTGAGAGAAAATTATTACTTGTATCTTTTATTGATAGAATCTTATAAAATTCTAAAGTTTTCAAATTAAATTAATTTCTAATATTTTTGCACTTTTAACATATATGAATATGCTTTTATATAGCAGATATTTATATATTTAAAATTATAATTGTTAGCATTAACTGAAAATGACTCATGTAATTCAATTTCTTAAATCTTCAGTTGACAAATCAATACTAAACCATTAGAATAATTATTTAATTGATTGTCTTCAGAATATACTATAACATTATAATTTTAATGATATATCAAAAAATGTCATTTTCCTTATTGAATTATAATTTAAATTTATATGCAAGATGCAAAATGAGATTATATAATTTCAAAGCCAAAATCAAACCTTAACATTTATTTTCTCTTAAATCAATCCTCAAAAATCTCCAAATATGATCCACAAATATATCCACAAAAGATATATCACTCTTATATATCAATTTGAACATTTATTTTCTCTAGAACCAATCTTTCAAAAATGATTCACCAACGACCCATATATTCACAAATATACAATATTCATATTTCTGGATTAGTCTTAACCCACAGTAAAGCGCAAGAATTAATTAATAAGCCATGGATCAATCTTGTTTCGATCAAAAGGCAGCAGGTTCGACGATCGGTCGATTTCCATGAGAAGGCTTATCTCTGAGCTTTATCGGTTGCGATACGAATAATTCACGTTTGACATTTCACCGTGGCAACTGGCTCCCTCCCTCGTGAAGCCGGCAAACAAAAATGGAAAGCCACTTCCCCCTCGTGGCCGGTTGAAAACGCTTATTTACATTCTATTTTTCAGCAATGGGCCCCGGGATTGAGTGAAGCGATGCATTTATCGAGGCCTGTACTTTGAGGCACGTTTACCTCGGCCGGAGATATAGGTTGCCTTTTAGATTTAGCTCTTGCCGACCTCTTTCCTCCTGTGGCCATTTTTACGGAAACGAAATTCACAGAGTGGGCAGAGCCGATTCCAGTCTCAGAAGTTCATCCACCGTGTAGCCGAGGTGCTATTGTTCCAGAGCCAGCCGACGGAGACCAGACGATGAGTGGAGGAGGAAGAGGTGGAGGAAGAAGCTAGCAAACGAGGTGGAGGAGGATGCTATCGAGAAAGAGGTGTATCTATATAAGTATGTGTATATATATATGTGAAATGTAACTATATACAGGGTGTCTCGTGATTTGTAGATATTGATCGAAACAAATATACGAAAAAAAGTGAAAAAAGTTTGCGTTATATATATAAGAGAATAGAATTCTCAATGTAAGTGGAGCACCTGTTGCGTGGAGATATTTAAAATCTTGCATTGTGCATGCAATGTCTATTGAAAATCATGAAATAATATGTTTTTAGAATAGAACAAAATCTTCGGATAATCAGATCAATGACAGTATGTTTATAATGGGTTATCTGGAAATGCAAAAATAAGTATATATAATCAATTTTTAAAATGAATTTATGAATTATATTATATTACGGAACACCTTTTATATATGTGAGTATATATGCATATCTATCGATGATAAATATAATAAGAGATGAAAAGTAAGCCTTTCCCTTAGAGTTCAAACGATTCATACGCATCGCCAGAGCGCATGCGTATACACATTAATTTCAATCGGCAGCGAGCAAACTTTTCGTTACAGTCTATTTCGCAAGCCCTCCGCCAATATAAAGGTCATTGATGCGCTGGCGATTCTTGATAATTATTACCTGTGAGATTGTTATCGATCCATCGTAGAGGAATTGCTTGCGGGATATTCCGCAATATTTTAGCTTTTTTTTATTCCATTGGAAAAATTCAACCGATTGAATATGATCGAATCTTGCCTCTAGCACTCTATGAAACAATTACAGTTTACTTTCTTATGGATATTTTTGGATATCAAATGCATTGGATATTTCATGATATAATGTTCCAATGCAGAAAACATAATATAATTATATATGAAATTCTATACCTTTTCAAAATCTATGAAATTTTTCGTAACAATTTTTTAATTCTTTAGAATCTCTTATCTTTTTTATTTCATCTTGATTTGCTTCACTTTGGAGATCTATCACAATAGAAATTTTTCGTGCCACTGGTTTTTAATCGCGATTGGTTACGCCGCATTAAGATAAGCCTAGTGTCATCTACCGGTAATTAGTACAACCTTTTATTCTCGTCGCAAGCGCACGCCTCGGTCAATCACTTAACCAATAAATTCAATTCCATTCCTACGAAGATTATGAATCTATAGATGTAAAAATAGCCAATCACGTGAAAGCAACTTATCATTTAACCCGATTTCTGGCATTCACTAACAATTTCAGACCGTCATGTCAATCAACTCTCCGTCCATCAACCGAACAAACCGAATAAATAATCTAATAACAATCAGACAACCTCATTTTCGACGATTAAGGAAACATCGCACGCCCACCAAGCTCGTTTATCAAAAACCGATCGTTTGCTTTGGGTGTAACGAGTCGGCTCCGGACAGAAAACGCCTTTTGTCCGCCGATTTTTCGTCGTTGAAACGGCAAACGATGCCGTGATTCACAGAACGAATCGGCCCGGTGAACGTACTTACAGCATCGCACAATAATGACGCTCTCGAAAGGCAGCGCCACCACGACCAATACTATGCAACTACACAACATCATATATATATACAAATACGTATCTATAAATACACGCATACAGACGCACAGCAGTACACACAGGTAAACGCAATGTACACATATCGCGACATATATATGTATATGTATGCATACGTATACATACGTATACATACGTATATCTACGTATGGGAACATAGGTATATGTATACACGCGCGTAGTCCGTACACGGACCAATAATTCTCAATCGCCGTTCGGAGCGTTCGCTACGGGCCGCTCGCACCGTCCCTTAAATCTAGCAACGAGGCCGACCTTATCGGGGGCCTTCCACCGTGCGCCATTATTGTGAGATACTGTACGTCCTGATCCGTCGTTTAGAGCCTATCCAGACCGCGAATCTCACGCGTTCGGCAGACTGCTCTCTCTCTCTCTCTCTCTCTCTCTCTCTCTCTCTCTCTCTCTCTCTCTCTCTCTCTCTCTCTCTCTCTCTCTTTTGTACATGTAACCAACAAAAGAGAACGAAACGGAAGATACGAGTAAAACAGAGAAAGAGAAAGAAAGAGGGGGAATTTGAACGAGAAGAAAGAAGAGAAGACGTCTTTCTGTGTTAACCGTAGCGCATGGCCACTTGGACTGGGCACATCGCGGGGGAGGAGTTGAATGTAAGGGGGGTAGTTGAGGGGGAGGGGGCTCAGGTAATCAGAGGCACTAAACCACGATACCGTGCTGGCAGTTAGAGGCCTCTATCTCTCCTGTCGTTGGTGGTACAACACGCCCGGTATTATTTGCAGGCTGCCACATTTGTCGTAGGTGGTCTTGCGACAGTGGCGTCGCGCGGCCCGTATAAACGACGCCGTCTACGATATACCGTGGTTCTCCTTCCTCGCGTTCTTCGTGGATAACGAACGTGTGCCGCTGTTCCAATAGGGTCCACGCGGTTTATACGCTTCTTCTATTCTCAACCCCTCGATCTTCTTCTTTTAGATCTCTTAAATCGTGGCTCCTCGACTCTTCTTTTGTAGTTGAACTAAGCTCCCAGTATATATCCGTGACTGATTAACGAGAGAATTAACGAAGATTAACGCCCATTGCATCAGGCGAAAATTTATAGCCAGTGTACACCGATTCCTGAATTATGGAGTTTATCGATATCTCCCGAGGGATCTATCGGAACGACTCTACCTGCATCCTCGTGAAACGGAGGGGATATTTCTTTTTTTTTTTTTTTTGCTTGGTTTTTTTCTCCAGGATGTTTTTAATGTTCTCGAAGAATTAAAGCGCGAGTCTATCGAGTGTTTTTTATTTTTAATAATTTCTTATCTAATTATTTTTTATTTAATTATTGAATAATTTTTATTTAAATTTTGTTTTGCTCAAAAATTTCTTCTAGGATTATAAATGATTTTTAATAATTATTTTAATAATCGACGATCGAGATTGGTGGTGTGGATGATGATGATGATAATGATAATGATGATGATGGACGAGCGGGCAGCGGTCGATTAGGTCGCCGTATTTATTCCATCATAATCGGGACGGTCGAGATTGATGGAGGAGTAAAAAGCATCGATGGGAGTGGAGGTTACGTACTATAATCGAACACGCTTCCTCCCGCGAAACTCCTACGTAGCCGAACAATTTCGCAAGCCGCGATGAAAGTAGATCTTCGTTGACTCAGGTACAAGGTATTCGACCGTATACCGTGGAATACGTGTAAAACGATGGGCTCTTTCTCCTTTTTTTTCTTTTTCTTTCTCTCTTGTCCGCAGACAATTATGCGAATTATGCTATTTTTATCGAAATTTACATTTTTCTATTTTATAACATTCTATTTTATAAAGTATGCTTTACAATTCATCATACAATTTGAATAATTCTTATTCGAAAAATTGCATTAAAAATTTTCTAAAAATAGATTTAATTCAAAAATAAATGCAAATATCATATTTATCTGTGACCCAGTGACATTATGAGAATACAATTCTAATCGATATTACAATAGAAACATTGTATAAATATAACGTATAAAATATTATAATTCCGTTCAATATGAAATATCCTATATATAATGAAAAAAACAACTTAATGAAAAGACATATCTTTTTCAATATCAAGAAATTTCATTTCGAGCAGGATACTTCCGCAATTGCGTTCGACAATTTTCTGGATATTCTTCTTCAACGAAATGTCAGCGACTTCTTGAAATTCCAATAGAAGATCTCGAAACGAGGCAATTCGACTGTTGACATACGAGCGGCAAAGAGGGGTTAACGGTTAGGGAATGATTAATAAAGATGCGCGGGCACGCGTTCCACCGGATATAAGGCCCACACAGGCCCACCGTAGACGTGTATGTACTTACTCGAGTCTACAAACGCGTCCCTCTATCGGCTGCTTCTCGCCAACTACAGAAGAAAACACGGCACAGGGCCGCGG